CAAATCAAAATCAAAAATAACCTTTTAAATTTCATAAAAATTAATTCCACTATTGATTGATTCTATTTCCGATCATAATTTAAATAAACATCAATACATCCTTTTCCCTTATTCAAACACGTATAAATTGACCGCTATATTGCTAACATTCCTTCTCTTTCTTTCCTTACTCTAGTACACCCAGTCCGCGACTTTAAAATTTAAAACTTGATAATTATAGAATTTTTATTTTAGTTTTATTTAAAATATTATTATTTCATAAACAATTTGAACCTTCGTTTTTATAAATGTCTTCGTCCAGTAGGAGTGGTACTCACAATTTTCATAATAATGTTGATTCATCCGATAATAACATTTTTACAGAAGTGATTGGTTGTCAACAAATTCAACAGCAACAACAACAGCAACAACAACAACAACAACAATATCAACAACAACAATATCAACAACATCATCCTGCCGCATATCCTAATCCTTTTCCTATCAGTCACCCTACCAATGATCATTATCCTGTTAATAATGATGTTAGCAATCAAGACCAAAGACAACAAATGCCACATCCTGGCTCGAATTTTTCCGTTGTTCCTTTAGCATCATCTTCATTATCTTTACCTCCGCCCAACATCCCATATCCACACCCACACCTCTCTAACAATAATGTCGATGATGTCTCGTCTTTATCTTTACCAAGCATCAACAATTCATATTCACCTCTCCAGTTCTGTGACATCATCAATGCAGATAGGGATATCAATAACAATGATCAGATTGAGGGTCAAGATCAAGGCGATAACTCCAATGGAAGAAGAAGACAAATGTATAGATTTGATTATAGCACTCATACTTTTCATAAAGATAGACCTAGGCCCAAACACAAGGCTAGCAGAAAAGTTAATTCTTCCACTTCCTCGTCATTATCATCTCTCGCAACTTCCGTCACTTCTACATCTACCGTTTCCACAAATTTGACCATTCCACCACGAAGAACTGAGCACGATGTATTCAACCAATTGTATCAATATGCATCGCATAGTTTAATTCATTCAAGATTGGCAGACACGTACAATGGGTAAGTATAAATGACGCTGGTAAAAGAAATAAATTAAACATTCGTTAAGATGTACGGTTTTATCAAAAGTTTGACTCCATTAACCAAAAACCGTACATCTTAACACAAACGTTTAGCTTTTTTTAATTTTCATTTCCTTGAATTAAAAAGCATACCAGAATGGAACTACTCGTTAGAAGTAGGCCAGAACCCCCAGAGAGCCAGAATGTGTGGCTTTGGTGAAAAAGTAATTTAATTTTTCTTTTTTTTTTTTTTTTTTTTTTTACAATGATAAATAATAATATTATTAATGATATATATATACGTATGCACGTATATAATTTTAGGATCGTCGTCCAATTTCACCTTTGCCATTTGTTAAATTGGCAATCACCCAAGGAGACAAAGGCCCCGTCAACATAGAGTTAGTATTGTAAAATTTGATTATAATGTTTGATTTTTTTTTTTTTTTCATATTAATAATATTCAAATTTATCATGTGTACAGAGAAGTTGACACAGCTTTCTATGTATGCCAAGCAGTATTGTATGAATATGGAACTGATAAAGAGGCAACATTGGTTGTGCATCCAGCCTCTCAAGCCAGTTTAAAAACGTCACCTTCCCTAGTTAGCGCTACAGCCAACTTGGTTGGCACTCCTATAGCACAAGCAAGAGTCTTGCGTGATGTAGATAATAAACCAGGAATTTGGTTTATTTATCGAGATTTAAGTGTTCGGACAGATGGAATGTTTTATTTAAAATTCCAACTTTTTTATATTGGATTGTAAGTATATACATACATACATATATATATATCTATTATAACATTCAATCGATCAATTAAATAAATAATCAATTGATTTTATCAATAAATAGTCGAGGCAACATTAACACAACAGATAATCAATCCAGAATACTTGCCACTGCAAATTCAAAGCCTTTTACTGTGTATACTGCTAAAAAATTCCCAGGGATGGTTGGTAAGTAACTATTTTATAATTTTATAATTTTTATTATTTAAATTTATAATTTTTATTATTTGAATTTATACATAATCAATCAATTATTTATAATTTGTTTAGAAATAACACCGTTAACAAAAGCTTTCATCGAACAAGGTTCAAAAATTCCTTCACGAAGGGATTTAAAGAGAACAAGGAATACATAAATTCATAATTAAAAAAATTAAAGAAAACAAGGAATTTATAATTAAAAAAATTAAAAAGATTAAAATTTTATAATTAAAAAAAAAAAAAGATTAAAATTCATAATTAAAAAAAAATTGAAAAGATAATTAAAAAAAAAAATAATTTCATAATATATATAATTTATAATTTATGTCTATACATTTTCTAAGTTTTTTTGGTCGTTAATAAGATTTTTTTTTTTTTTACAAAGTAAATATGTTAATAATATCAAACCAACCAACTAATCTACCAAACAACCAACCAACAAATTAATATTCAACTTGTAGTTTAAGATTTTTAAGATTTTTTGTTTTTTTTTTTTTTTTTTTTCATAAATTAAAACTTTTGTAACAATAATTATTAAATTAATATGAAGATGATTTCAATAAAATAAATTTTCTTTTTCATAATCTATTCTTCTTCTTCTTCTTCTTCTTCTTCTTCTTCTTCTTCTTCTTCTTCTTCTTCTTCTTCTTCTTCTTCTTCTTCTTTATCATTTAATTTCTTATAATAGTGTATAAAGAGATAACCAACCCCAATAAAACGCATAATTTTAATTAACAATAATTACCAATAGGAAAAATATTTTTGTTTAACGTTCCTTTGAATTTAATTTCGGAGTTTTTTTCCATTGTTATTAACTAACGCACGCACTTTATTACGATAAAAATAATGAACGATGATGTTGATGATAATAATCAATTAAATTTAGATATGCACATATTCTTAAACAATAAGGGGTCGGCCGACTGTCCTGGAAAATTCTTCTCACAAAAAAAAATATTATAAAACGACCGTTTATAATAATTTACATAGAGTCCAAATCTGAAAACAATGGACATTGCAGATCTTTGATAAGCGCCTTATTTATCGGCTTTGGTCGCACAAATCAGATCGGCTATTGTCATGAATTGTATAATATATAGGTTTTCATTCATTCATAAATTATGTAATCGACACACATGTAGATAAACCTAGCACTTGTTATTTTTTGGGGTAAATCATGGAATCTTAGATGCATTTTTTTTTTTAATAAATTTTGTTTTTCTAAACGGGCGTTTCGATTCACATCTATCTGGAAAACTAGGATTTATTTATTATATCAATAAATAATAAATCAATAAATAATAAATCGATTAATAATAAAATCAATTAATAATGATAATAATAATAAAATAAATTAATTAGTTAATTAATGAATAAAAAAAGTAAATAAATGAATGAATAATCTTTGATTCTATCATACATTCAAGGAAAGTTTGGAGTATTGATTGCGATTATTTAATTTGCATATGTGATTTCTTGTGACTTTTGTGGAAATTACATGACCTTTAATGATATTTTGCTTAATTAAATGCATGATGTTAATATACGGAGTGGACAACTCAAACACATACACGAATGGATCAATGTTCCCGTGCACGCGTATTTAATGATGATAAGGTTACAATCAATAGTTTGTACCAATTAAACAATCAATTTATTTATTTTTCTCTTGTTTCTCTTGTTTCTCTTGTTTCTCTTGTTTGCAAACAAACTCCATTGGGATTAACATCGCCGTATGATTAGTTGGCGAACCATTCACATTCAATTCTCACAACACCACCATTCATTAGTTCAATAAACTTTTAAGGCGAACAGATCGTTTGAAAACTTTATTACCAATACGGATATCAAGAGTATTAGAAAATGGAAGTCAGCGTACCAATTACTTATTAATACTTGTAATTAGTTTACTTTTTTACGCGCTTTACTACAAATACGGATAAAAAAGAGAATCAACCATTTATTATTCATTTGTCTATTTGAATGAATGGATGGATAAATTGATAAATGAATGAACGAATAAATGAACGAATGGATCTGTCAAATAAATAAACAAATGACATTTACTCCACATGAACTGACATTTGTGACATAAACCTGCATCAAGGAAAAACTGTGCTTTCGATAAATTTCTCGTATTGAATCCTTTCGGGGATGATAAAGAAATTTAATCAAAGATCGGTGATGTCTATTCGTTCATAGTTTTTTATTGTTTGTAATGTTTTGTTTTTTTTTATTTTCAATTCTTAAAATCTTGTGCAATTGGTGATGTGTCAAAATATCATCCAGTCGCTTATTGAAGTTGTATACATCAAATTGTACTCGCAATTAGAATTGTAACTATAATATCTAATTCATGTTCTAAATTTATAAATATTTTTTATAGAAATGTCCCAGGTGTAGCTGTAACCTGTATGAAACATATACAAGGGGGAGTTTAAAACGATTCGCTGTTATGTCATGTGATCGATTTTTATTGGTTGATTTTTTTATTTTGGCAGTTGATCATTACCTTTTGTTAAATTGAATCTAAGAAAAATAGTGTCACGAATGTAAGTATCCAACACCGAATAATTAAAATAACTAAGATTCTTTTAAATCTTTAGACGTCTGTTTTCGGTATAAATGTTTTTCCACTTTAAAATCTTTCAATAAAAAAAAATTCATTATAAATAAAGGTGAATTCGCCTCAACAAAAAATCCAGAATTCTTTCTATGGTTGTTACATTTATAAAATATTTTTATATTCGCGGATATTTTTTATTTTTTATAATTATTATATTTTTTGGACTTATATTACTTATATTTAAAAAAATGCCTCCCCAAAAAAAAGAAAAAAAAAGTATTAAAAAATACATTTTTCCCCAAACTATTAACATAAACCAAGATGATCATGATCAGATCATTGATCAATTGATCAATAAGCATTTAAATTCAATGACGACTTTCGTTGAAAACAGAGTAGTTACCTACTTGTCGATAAAGGATCTTCTAGCTCCAAAAAGAAATGCAAATAAAATCGGTAGACCTCAAAACGAATTTATTCTATATCGAAAAGAGATCCTCGCGGAACTCAAAAATAACAACGAAAAACATACCCTCCGAGAAGTTTCCCAAATCGCATCATGGAGATGGAAATCTGAATCTACTGAGCGGAGAAATTTTTTCATTATCTTGTCGAAAGTTGGTTTTTTGGTATATAGAGATTTGTACGAGCATTATTGTAAAAATGATAATGCTAATGCTAACAATAGCACCGACAATGAAAATCAAACAACAACTTACGACAGCGTCAACGATATAAATTGTATTAATTTTAATTGTGATGGTGAAACTGATTCATCAACCGAACAACCTAAATATTCAGTATTCACCCCCAACTTTGAAGTCTTGGTCGAAAGAGAGACTTCCTTATTGGGGTTTTCAATTCCGGCCGCAACGGAAGCAGAAGCAGCATTATCGGCTGTAGTATCATCGTTATCATCACCATCATCATCATCATCATCATCCACTTCTCCATCTTCTTCTTCTGGTTCAAATACCTCGTCACCCCCATGGTCCGGCTCCGCTTCGATGCCACAAATGCTTCTTGTACCATCTTATCCGGAGATGGTTGAATCTTCTTCAAAAAGATTATTGTCTCTTCGTACGCCCCCAAATAATAACGATAATATCAATCACAAAAACTATAACTATTATAACAACTACAAACGCTATAACAACTACAAATACTATACCCGTAGCTGCTACAACAATAATAAGAACGACAACAATAATAAGAACGACAACAATAACAATAACAACGATAACAACAATAACAATAACAACGACGACAACAATAATAACAACAACAATAATAACAACAACAACAGCGACAACAACTACAACTACTACTACAACTACAACTACTACAACAACAGCAACAACGACGACGGCAACAACAACAACAACAACTACTACTACTATAACAGCAACAACGACGACAAAAACAACGACGACAACAACAACAACTACAACAACAACAACTACAACAGCAACGACGACGACGGCAACAACAACTACGACAACAACGGCAACGACGGCAACAGCAGTGACGGCAACGGCAGCGATGGCAACGGCAACAACTATAACAATAATAATATTGCTCTTGATTTTTTTAATATTAATGTTGACCCATACAATTATGGTCAGCAATACCACCAACAAAACTTTTGTCAATCATTAATCGACATTGACAATAATGTTGGTGACGTCGACCCTGACTTAGAATTGGCAACTATTTTACGTCAATTAAGAGTTGACAACGCAATCGCAATAAACGACTCTAATGTGCTTGATCAACCAAGCATCAATAATTTCGTCACTCCCAATCCGATTTCTATTGACTCCACAATTATGGATACAACAACCACCGACAATTACCATTACCTCAACCCACAACACCCATATTATCCATATTATCCCCAACACGACCAATTTTCCGCAAATTCCACAACATTTAATATCGAAAATGTTAATTTTGATTTCGACGAGATGCCAAAGTTTGATGAAGAAAAAGGATATTGTTTTTTATCACAATGATTATTTTGTTGATAAAAATCAACATGAATAACGTTTAATTATTTTTTTTTTCTTCTAAATTTTTATTTCGTTTTTTTTTTTTCAAGCAATGAATTTATATAATAATAACGATAATAATAACGATAATAATAATAATAATAATAATAATAATAATAATATGATTTCTTTCCTTTATAAATATGATTTCATTAAGATTTATGTTTCCATTAAGCATTAAGGTTATATAAATAAGATTTTTTTTAATTAAACCATAAATATGTTATGATTTTTTATTTTTTTAAAAATAATAAATAATCGTGTAATTTTATTTTTTTAAAAATAATCGTATGTAATTTTATTTTATCAATAAAAACTACGTTGGCAAATCTGAATTTCTTTTGAACGTTAGACCTGGACGAAATTATTTTGTCTTTTGGGGTTCTTGCAATAGCAGTCATAGTAATAACGATAGTAGCAGTAATAGTAATAGTTGGTAGTACTTTAATTTCTCACAAAGCACAAGATTTGCATTCAATTAAGTTTTGCATTTTAATTTTAATTGGTAGTGGATGAAATATAAGCTTATTAAAACTTATAAAAATACTAAAAATAAAAATATAATTAATATAACATACAAGTTTTTTTTTCATCATGATTATTCAAGCCTCTATGCATAAAACCACCTTCTTTCAACTTTTTTTAAATTTTTTAAATTTTTTAAAATATGAAATCATTTAACAAAATCTACATTACTTTCAAATTTGGTTAACCCGTGCCAATTCCGCTAACTAGTTTTATTTATTATACAATAAAATGTAAACATTATGTCCTAAAGAACCAAACAATGATTAAACCAATACCCTTGTTGCAACCCCTAAATAAATGTTACACGTTCAAGATTACAAAGATTGGAATATATGTATATATGTATATAATTAAATACGGAGGAGGGCAAAGTTCCTAATTTAAATAAATCTTTTTTTCTTTATAATATAAAGTTCCTTTTTATAATAGGTTTATTTGTTTTGAATTGAAAACAATACAAATAATCAATAACAATTTTGATTGACGTATTAATATTATGATAAACAAAGCCATTTAACACATTTAAAAAAACAATTTTTCAAAATGCAAATGTCTTTACAATCAAAAAATCCCATATTAATCAATAATTAATTCAATAGAGCTGAGGAAGATAATGAAGAGGCAAAGAGAATATTTAATATCTATATTAATAATGATATTATAGTATAAATTTGCAACATAATGGCCAAATAATCATCAACGGCTTTGGGTCCAAGTGGTTTCTTTACTCTAATGATTTTCTTTCTTGTTATCTATTTTTCTACATATTAGTCAAATAATAAAAACAATTCATCTGACATTAGAGCTTGGAGCCGGATTGTAAAATCCGAATAGAATTTTGGTAAACGGATACCTTTTTAAAATATCCGTATAATAATAAAGTTTGACTAATTTTAAACGGATATATTCTCCTAAAATAACCGATATCTGTAATAGTAATAATACTAATTTGATAACTTAAAAGAACTCGGTGACTCAGAGTCCCAGCCGATTAGACAATTTACTTCTCAGTAAATTATTATTATTTTACGGACGGATTAGCTCCCCAAGTTTATTATCATTAAAATAATTATTCTAAGAAGTAAGTCCTTGAATATATGCATGATTTTGAAATGTAAATAGTTTCTAAAGAAAAAAAGGACTTTCTAACTTCAAAAGGCAGTGTAGGAATTTAATATGATCTTCATCCCGCATAATGAACACAAACCAAAACAGTTAAATTAACCGACTTTCATTATGTCTAAATTGGAGAATCCAACTCCCTTAGATTTGTGTAATGAGCGTTTTCTCAAAGATTAAATGCTTTAGCATTCCTATTGTTAAAATCTGTTATATCTTCTGAGGAAGAAAGTACATTACTAAAACTATACATGAAACCCAAAGTGTCATAATTCAATGATTTTAATAGTGTGTTTTTTGACATTTGACATTTTGACATCAGCAAAACAATTTGGGCTTCAGTATAACCGAGACATATTTTTGCAATGGCTTGATTTATTTTCAGATGCCTCTTTTATTCCCAAGCTATAAAAAAATAATCAATTGTAATTTGTTAAGATAAAAATAGTTTCTAAAAATGGTGTAAATCTTGGAAATTTCTTTTAGAACGTTGTGATTGTGTACTTAAAACTTGAGTCCGGTAAAAATTCCAGGTTGTGGCTATTGCATACACAGGAAATTTCCCCGCCATAATATTACACATGTAAGTTTTAATATGTAATGTTTGCATAAAAATTTACACTTAATATAATAATTGCATGATTTTTTGCATAATGTTATGGGATCCGATGTAAATTTACACAAGTAGTAATGGTGTAAATTCGCATCAGAAAAAATTCCCTGATGTAGTAAAAGGCTTCCAATCTAGCCCTTTACGTCCATCATTGTCATCCATTGAGATAAAACCCAACTGTGAATCTTTGAAAGAACTGAGATGGAAGCTGCTGACGTGCATGCTTCCAATAGGTGAATAATTCATCATGGTTATAGATTGCAGTTTTACGACTACATACATATTCATATCCCCCAATTTCCTAATATATATCTAATGGTTCGTGACTTAGTATCCAATACTTTGATAAAGTTTTTCATAAAATTACAAAATCAAGTTATATTAAAAATAGTTACAATGTAACATAATGTGAAAAATTCCTTCAATGAATTCCTTCTCCTCTTCAGATTGGTCTGGGAATATAACACCTTACAAAATCAAAATATTCATACATCAGAAAGTTTTCTAAATCTTTATTCATTAATCAAGTTCATCACAATTCAATTAAAGAACAATGGATTAAATAAAAGCTTAATGTTGGAGTTTTCATATTTATAAATTTTCTTACTCTGCTTTCATGAACAATATCTTCAAATATTTCTCTCGTATTTTTAGATGGTGATGAAAATTCATCAATTTGCCGTTAGAATGCATTGTGTTCGAATATTAATAATGTGATCCATGATCGGGGTAGATAAAATAATAATAATCGATTGGGGATTCGGTATTTTATGATCCAGGTCAACTAATTTTAGTATTAGTGTATATATAATTATTATCAAATGAAAATTTTACGCAAAAGCTTTTTTATAATGTCAATATTGATTGATTAGGTAACGTAATTTGCTTTAATACTTTAATGAGTAAGTAAATGTTACGACTAACATTCGTTAACTAGTGAGTGTTAATGAAGTATCGTCCAAAGAACAATCGGAAATACCGGTAGTATTATTGTAATCCTAAACGTGAGGCTATTAAACAAGCTGCTTAAGTTGTTTTACAAGTAAACCAGAGCGAGTTTGTAATCGGCCAGTTAATGTAAACAAGGGTGAACGATTGAAATAAATCGAAGCCCTTGAGCTTTGTAAAAGGCCATCTTTATTTATTTACAGTTATTAAATGTGCTCACAGATTCGTCCAAGTGCAAAAAAGAGGGAACCAAAGTAAATTCGTAAACTAATTAATTGACAAGAGTAGCCAAAAGTTAAGCCATAAATTAGCCATATTTGTTAAATAACCAGTATTTACTGAAATAATATCGCAGTTTAAAAAGAATCAAAAAACTGTGAAAAGTTTATTATTTCAAAATAATTTAGCTTAAAGAAATAAAATAAAGACAAAATAAAAAGACAATAAAAATAATAAATTTATAGTGGAGATTAAATTAATTAATTAATTAATATTGTTAGTAATAATTAATGGATAGTAATTTCCAATTAATTAATAATGAAATTTTTAT